GCTCTGGATGAGGAATGACCCATTGTTGCATCTTAGATGGCCACTTGCAAGCTTTTAAGACTCCAGTTGCTACTCACCAAAGTAGAATGTGGAACAGTGTTTTTGTGTAGTATGTTATGCCAGGTGAGCTTCATATCCCCTGCGACCATGGTCCTGAGCCCATAGGTCCAACTACTCGCTTCCTCAGGGTGGTTGGCTGTGGCCAAGAAGTTATCATAACTTTGCCCCTTTTAGTTCTGTTATATATTTGGACAATGTAGTATCATATATGTAAAATGGTTTCTCTTTTTGTCTGTACTTCTTGTTTACCTCTCTGTATCTTCCTTTTCCTCAGTGCCACTGTGTTGATTACTCACGTTTGTGTACTGGTACCTTTGAAGAAAGATGTGTTCACTTGAATGTCTTTATTCCTCTAAAGTGTTTGACACAAATTGCTCAAAAACTTCCATCTAAGTTGTTAAGAGTTTATTTTCAATTAAGTGAAATCCTTTTTGTATAAACTGAAAGAAGGAGTGTTGGTGGTTCAAGGGTTAAGCCCTTGTCTGTTAACCAAAAGGTTGGCAGTTTGAACCCACCCAACACCTGGCTCTGTGAGGGAAAGACTTGGCACTACTTCCATAATTATAGCCAAAGGAAAAAAAAAACCCACCACCACAACAACCCTATTGGGCAGTTCTACTCTGTCACATGGGGTCACTATGAGTCATTCTGACTCAATAGCATGCAACTACAGCAATAAATTGAAACAATTCATAGTCAGAATACAGAGAAGAATGTTCATGTAGAGCTCTATATTGTTAATAACTCTGAATTTCTGTTCCCAAGTTATTTTTATTTTACCTATTCAGTGACTTTTAGTATATTTACCGAGTTATGCAAACAACACACTTTAATTTTAGAACATTTCTGTTACCCTAAAAAGAAACCTGGGAGCTCTGGTAGCATAGTACCTAAGGCTTTTGACTGCTAACCAGAAGGCTGGTGGTTCAAACACACCAGCCACTCCTTGGAAGAAAGGTTGGGCAATCTACTTCTGTAGTGATACCGCCTCAGCAACCTAAGGAGGGGTCGCTATGAGTCGGATCCGACTCTTCGGCAGGGAGTTTGTTTTTTTAGAAAGAAACCTAGGGCCCATTTACAGATCCTCCTTATTCTTGCCCCTAGTTCTAGGTACCCACTAGTCTACTTCTTACCTCTCTAGATTTGTCTTTTATGGACATTTCATAAAAATAGAATCATATGATAGGTGGCCTTTTGTGTCTCTGGCTTCTTTCACTTACCCATAGTGTTTTTCTTTTTTTTTAAATTGTGATTTGGGTGAAGATTTACAGAGCAAATTCACTTTCCATACAGCAGTTCACATATTCTTGGTCTTATGTGATTGACCACAGTTTACCACAATGCAACAGCTCCCCTCCCACT